TATGATCGTCTTAGCACTATGACTGTAATAAGTCAGTGTTATAGTAAAGGTTTTTTGATCGTCTTAGCACTATAACTGTAATAAGTCTGTTATAGTAAAGGTTTTATCATCGTCTTAGCAGTATGACTGTAATAAGTCAGTGTTATAGTGAAGGTTTTATTATCATCTTAGCAGTATGACTGTAATAAGTCTGTATTATGGTGAAGATTTGTCATCATCTCAGCGCTATGAGCCTATGACTGTAATAGGTCTGTGTTATAGTGAAGGTTTTAGTATCAACTTAGCAGTATGATTGAAATAAGTCTGTATTATAGTGAAGGTTTTATCATCATCTTAGCAGTATGACTTAATAAGTCTGTGTTATAGTGAAGGTTTTGTCATCGTCTTAGCTGTATGACTGTAATAAGTCTGTTATAGTGAAGTATAGTGAAGGTTTTATTATCATCTTAGCAGTATGACTGTAATAAGTCTGTATTATGGTGAAGATTTGTCATCATCTCAGCGCTATGAGCCTATGACTGTAATAGGTCTGTGTTATAGTGAAGGTTTTAGTATCAACTTAGCAGTATGATTGAAATAAGTCTGTATTATAGTGAAGGTTTTATCATCATCTTAGCAGTATGACTTAATAAGTCTGTGTTATAGTGAAGGTTTTGTCATCGTCTTAGCTGTATGACTGTAATAAGTCAGTGTTATAGTGAAGGTTTTGTCATCATCTTAGCACTAAGACTGTTATAGTGAAGGTTTTGTCATCATCTTAGCACTATGACTAATAAGTCTGTTATAGTGAAGGTTTTGTCATCTCAGCACTATGGCTGTAATAAGTCAGTGTTATAGTGAAGGTTTTGTCATCATCTCAGCACTATGGCTGTAATAAGTCTGTGTTATAGTGAAGGTTTTATCATCATCTTAGCACTAAGACTGTTATAGTGAAGGTTTTGTCATCATCTTAGCACTATGACAATAATGAGTCAGTGTTATAGTGAAGGTTTTATCATCATCTTAGCACTATAACTGTAATAAGTCTGTATTATGGTGAAGATTTGTCATCATCTCAGCGCTATGAGCCTATGACTGTAATAGGTCTGTGTTATAGTGAAGGTTTTAGTATCAACTTAGCAGTATGATTGTAAGAAGTCTGTATTATAGTGAAGGTTTTATCATCATCTTAGCAGTATGACTTAATAAGTCTGTGTTATAGTGAAGGTTTTATCATCGTCTTAGCTGTATGACTGTAATAAGTCTGTGTTATAGTGAAGGTTTTATTATCATCTTAGCACTATGGCTGTAATAAGTCGGTGTTATAGTGAAGGTTTTGTCATCATCTTAGCACAATGACTGTAATAAGTCAGTTTAAAAGTATAGGCTTTACGGTCAATTGTGGCTGTTGACGAAGGTTTTATTATGTCAGCCAAAACTGAGGAGAAGTATAGTATGAGAACATCAAAACAGTGTTTATTGATATTTCTTTAATAGCTTTTTTTTTATAAAAGAGTTTAACACAGTCTAAGGAAATGCTTGTGAAAGTATCTGGCAGGGAAATATTACCAAACCACCTGTCAAGCAGTTTTGTCCACTGGTCTGATCAGGAAGTCAGGAGGTTGATTCTCCACGTCCATGGTCACAACATTCAGTGTCTTGTCTTACAGAACATGGTTAACGTTTAAAACACCCAGTCTTCATTTGCTTTATACCTGGGATCAGGTCGAACTTAGAACATGAAATACCTCATATTAGGTGATTATAAAAACAATCGAGTAACAAACAAAACACTAGTGAGCATCTGAACAGATGTTTAGGAACTGGTCAGAAGCACCAACCAACATTCCTTCGCTAGATTGATATTACACAATCTATAAGCATGCTATGTGAATGCTTGTGGATATTATGCAATCTGTAAACACGCTGTGTGAATCTGTAAACACGCTGTGTAAATCTGTAAACACGCTGTGTGAATCTATAAACATGCTGAGTGAATCTGTAAACACGTTGTGTGAAAGCTTGTGAATGTTATAAAACACCTTCAGTCACTGTCCACCTTGTTAAGACCTACAGTATATAAAACATCTTTAGTCACTGTCATTTTGATTTCATTTTAGAACAGAATTCAGTTCATATCCTTTTGACACAGAAATACTAGTCCTTTAGATTTGGATTATATAGTATGACCAGAAATTATTGAGAATTTTAGGAATATGTTAAATTGGATTTCTAGTATAAACAACCTTGACCAGCTATCAAGTGCTTGGTTTCATACAAGAGAGACAACTCCGTTAATCATTTTTCATTAGTTTGTGAAGAGTTATCCCCCATTCTTTACTTGCTAGCAGACGACATGTTCAGTGATCCTCAGTATGGATGATTTAGAGAAGAGGAAGTTGATTTTAGAGTATTATAACAAGGACATCAGATCAGCTAAAGTGATTTCAAGTAGAACAGGCATCCCTTTGTCCTCTGTTTATCGTGTTTTGAAAAATATTGCAAATGGATATGGCATTGAGCACCAGGGAGGCACAGGTAGGCCCAGAAAATTGACTGTTGGTGACAGAAGGCAGCTTGGTATTCTTGTTTCTAAAAATAAACGAAGGAGTTTAGAAAACTTAAGGCTGGATATGACTGATAGAGGAACTGTGGCTGTCTGTAAGGAGACAATTAGAACTGAGCTGTATGCAATGGGTTGGCAGAAAAGTCGAGGAATTCCATCATGAAGCCTGAACAAACGGAGCGAAGGTTGAACTGGTGCTTACAGCATAGAAATTTTAACTGGGACAATGTGATTTTCTCAGATGAAAGTTCTGTGTGGCTGTTTCCTAATACACTGAAATTCTGGTCCAAACAAACTGAAAAACCTTTGTATCAGCGCCCAAAGTACAGTCCGAAATTTAACGTGTTGGATGGCATATCTGTGTTAGGGGCAACGCCCCTCTGTGTATTTGAAGGGAATATGAACAGTGAGCGGTACACAGTTATTCTCGAGGGACATTTACTTCCATCTGCTCACGTGTTCTATGGAAAGTTTTGGATTTTCCATCAGGACAACGACCCAAAACATCGTTCAGAGCATTCACAGGCCTGGTTTCGGACCCAAAATATGACATTATTAGATTGGCCAAGCTATAGCCCTAACCTAAATCCAATAGAAAATGTTTGGGGACTTATGAAGGAAAGTGTCAATAAGAAAAATCTGAAAAATATTGCTGAAATAAAAGAAGAGGTGGTCCGATATTGGGACAGCATGGACCACGACTTTCTAACTTCTTTGATCAGTAGTATGCCCCGCCGCATTGAAGCCTGCATTGCTGCCCATGATGACTTGACAAAATACTAACTGTTCACCTGTCTTTGAATCTGAAGTTATGTTCTGCTAATATTAACATTTAATACGTGAGTAATGAGTAAAAATTTTTTTTAAAAATACAATCTTTAAATTCTCAATAATTTCTGGTTGTACTGTATTTGGAGCATATGAAGTAGAACTGAAGCGGATATTCATGAAAGTTTTGTGCGAGTCTTTATTAAAACTATAAAGACAATTTACTGAATGACTTGCTTTCCTAATAAGATCTTCAATATGCAATTTCCAGCTACAGTCTCCTTCTGTTTGGCAATGTCAACTTCAAAAATTTGTTCTTGTATTTTTAAGCTAGGTAATGCACAAGGATTTGATTTGCAGAAGAATAATATTGCTTCAGTTTTTCAAATGGTCTATAATTTTGACATTGATCAATATCACCCTTTTCACGATTCGTATTACTGATGTCTCTTTACAAATAGTAGTAAATTTTCATTTTACAAATGACATTAAATAACGTAGTAAGTGGCAATAGAGAGCAAAGATGCAATCAGTTTTATATGTTTATTACTTGCTTTATCTGGTCCACTTGCTTCAGAAAAGTTGACAGATAACTGAATGCATGTATCTCTAAGTACTTGATGTACAAGTATGATGGATTCAGTTGAATTTTCAACCCGACATTCAGTCTTAGGAGTATCCTTATTTGGATCATCAACAGCTGCTTGACTTATAATGAAGTCATTTAATACATGTGATGTACTTTGTCATACAGCTTATCATTGTGGACAATTGGAGGAAATTGTTTTGTAATCCTCATGTTAGGAGAGTCCACCAGTATTGTGAATATCTGTACAAACTCTGCTGATACATTTTGAAATATATGGATTTCAAATGAATTAATGTCTCTAACATGCAGAACATCACTTTATGCCAAATCCTCAGTGTTTGATCTTCAGTTTCAGTGTTTGATTTTCAGTTGCAGTTTTCTATTCTCAGTTGCAGTGTTCAATCTTTAGTGTGCAGTTCTGTATACAATTTTTTATCTTCAATATGCAGTGTTTGATCCTCATTTTCAGTGTTTGATCTTTAGTACGCAGTGTTCAATCTTTTGTATGCAGTGTTCAATCTTTTGTGTGCAGTGTTTGATCTTCAGTATGCAGTGTTTTATCCTCATTTTCAGTGTTTGATTTTCAGTATGCAGTGTTTGATCCTCATTTTCAGTGTTTGATCTTCAGTATGCAGTGTTCAATCAATGCAGTTTCTTACCATCAGCTGCAGTGATTGATCTTCATTACATTGTTTCTGTAACTATTGTGACCGCCTCCGTGGTGTAGTGGTTAGAGCGTTCGCCCGGAGTGCGGAAGGTCGCAGGTTCGATCCCCGGCCGCGTCATACCAAAAGACATTAAAATGTGGTACTTGTTGGTCCCTGCATGGCGCTCGGCATTTATGGGTACAACAAGGACTGGTCAGCTCGGAGTCAGTATAATGTGTCTGAGTGGGGTATTCATGCTTCACTGCGGCATGGTATCTCAGTGGGCTAGCACTATAAAACCAGCTTAAGTCTGGGCTAGTACAAGCAGCCGCACATCCACATACACAAGCATGCACATCGTCATATGAGCGAAATATTCTCAAGCACGACATTAAACTCAATTTCACCTCACCTCTGCAACTATTGTCTCATTGTGGATATTTCATTTCAGAGCAAAGGAGACACATCAACTGGCTGAGGCCAACCATGAGAAGAATGCCAAACTGCGAGATGCCTTTGGTCTTGGGGACTATGTGGAGGGGAGTGCCTTTGACCCTGCCCGCAAGGCAAAAGAGGAAGCTGCCAAAGCCCTTGCCATGGCACAAAAGAAATACTCGTGAGGAACATTTTATGTCAGGCATTAATAACACACTTGTCATTTTTACTTTGTCATGTTATAGTAAACTGATTTTTAACACAAGGGATTTGATTTTATGTTTCTTATATCTGGAAATATAATGTTGCAGAATGGCATTATCAACTGGTATGAGATACACCCTTTTCCATCTTGTTATATACTGGGTATGAGTAAACCCTTTTATACCTTGTTATATACTGGGTATGAGTAAATGCTTTTATACCTTGTTATATACTGGGTATGAGTAAACTGACTGACTGACTGAGTTTAGTTTTACGCCGTTTTTAGCAATATTCCAGCAATATCACGGCGGGGACACCAGAAATGGGCTTAACACATTGTGCCCATGTGGGGAATCGAACATGAGTAAACTATTTTATACCTTGTTATATACTGGGTATGAGTAAACCCTTTTATACCTTGGTATACACTGGGTATGAGTAAACCCTTTATACCTTGGAATATACTGGGTATGAGATAAGCCCTTTTATACCTTGTTATATACTGGGTATGAGTAAACCCTTTTATACCTTAGTATACACTGGGTATGAGTAAACCCTTTCATACCTTGTTATATACTGGGTATGAGTAAACGCTTTTATACCTTGTTATATACTGGGTATGAGTAAACCCTTTTATACCTTGTTATATACTGGGTATGAGTAAACACTTTTATACCTTGTTATATACTGGGTATGAGTAAACCCTTTCATACCTTGTTATATACTGGGTATGAGTAAACGCTTTTATACCTTGTTATATACTGGGTATGGGTAAACCCTTTTATACCTTGTTATATACTGGGTATGAGTAAACACTTTTATACCTTGTTATATACTGGGTATGAGTAAACCCTTTTATACCTTGTTATATACTGGGTATGAGTAAACCCTTTTATACCTTGTTATATACTGGGTATGGGTAAACCCTTTAATACCTTGTTATATACTGGGTATGAGTAAACCATTTTATACCTTGTTATATACTGGGTATGAGTAAACCCTTTTATACCTTGGTATATATACTGGGTATGAGATAAGCCCTTTTATACCTTGTTTTATACTGGGTATGAGATAAGCCTTATCCATCTTGTTATATACTGGGTATGATATACACCCTTTTCTATCTTTTAAATACTGGGTATGCAATAAGCCTTGTTCTACCTTGTTATATATGGGGTATGAGATAAGCCTTGTTCTTACTTGTTTTTTATTGTTAATGCAATAACAGTCCTGATCACCAGGATTGATTTTAGAATAGGATAGAGCTTGCCTATTATTCCGAATATCAGTATTTCAAATGACTTACTAATCATATTGCAATTATAGGACTGTAGAAAGCTCTGATTCCGAAGAAAGATCTCCGTCCCCTCCTCCGAAAAAGAAGAAGAAGAAATCTCGGTAAGATATGTGTTTGATGATCAGTGATTTTGAATGTTCATAAGTGGTCATAAACTAAAACTTCACAGAAAGTTAGGATTCTCAGAAAATAAAATTTAGTAAGTGTAAGCATTGTAATCTGTCACAGTAATCTCACCACACACCACACCTGATCAACCGACAAATCTGTCATAGTAATCTCACCAGACCTGATCAACCGACAGATCTGTCACAGTAATCTCACCACACACCACACCTGATCAACCGACAAATCTATCATAGTGATCTCACCACACCTGATCAACCGACAAATCTGTCACATTAATCTCACCACACACCACACCTGATCAACCGACAAATCTGTCACATTAATCTCACCACACACCACACCTGATCAACCGACAAATCTGTCACAGTAATCTCACCACACCTGATCAACCGACAGATCTGTCACAGTAATCTCACCACACACCACACCTGATCAACCGACAAATCTGTCACAGTAATCTCACCACACCTGATCAACCGACAAATCTGTCACATTAATCTCACCACACACCACACCTGATCAAACGACAAATCTGTCATAGTGATCTAACCACACACCACACCTGATTAACCGACAAATCTGTCATAGTGATCTCACCACACCTGATCAACTGACAGATCTGTCATAGTGATCTCACCACACCTGATCAACCGACAAATCTATCATAGTGATCTCACCACACCTGATCAACTGACAGATCTGTCATAGTGATCTCACCACACCTGATCAACTGACAAATCTATCATAGTGATCTCACCACACCTGATCAACCGACAGATCTGTCATAGTGATTCACCACACACCACACCTGATCAACCGACAAATCTGTCAAAGTGATCTCACCACACCTGATCAACCGACAAATCTGTCATAGTGATCTCACCACACACCACACCTGATCAACCGACAAATCTATCATAGTGATCTCACCACACCTGATCAACCGACAAATCTATCATAGTAATCTTACCACACACCACACCTGATCAACCGACAAATCTGTCATAGTGATCTCACCACACCTGATCAACTGACAAATCTGTCATAGTGATCTCACCACACCTGATCAACTGACAAATCTGTCATAGTGATCTCACCACACCTGATCAACCGACAAATCTGCCATAGTGATCTCACCACACACCACACCTGATCAACCGACAAATCTGTCAAAGTGATCTCACCACACCTGATCAACCGACAAATCTATCATAGTAATCTCACCACACACCACACCTGATCAACCGACAAATCTGTCATAGTGATCTCACCACACCTGATCAACTGACAGATCTGTCGTAGTGATCTCACCACACCTGATCAGCCGACAGATCTGTCATAGTGATCTCACCACACACCACACCTGATCAACCGACAGATCTGTCATAGTGATCTAACCACACACCACACCTGATTAACCGACAAATCTGTCATAGTGATCTCACCACACCTGATCAACTGACAGATCTGTCATAGTGATCTCACCACACCTGATCAACCGACAAATCTATCATAGTGATCTCACCACACCTGATCAACTGACAGATCTGTCATAGTGATCTCACCACACCTGATCAACTGACAAATCTATCATAGTGATCTCACCACACCTGATCAACCGACAGATCTGTCATAGTGATTCACCACACACCACACCTGATCAACCGACAAATCTGTCAAAGTGATCTCACCACACCTGATCAACCGACAAATCTGTCATAGTGATCTCACCACACACCACACCTGATCAACCGACAAATCTATCATAGTGATCTCACCACACCTGATCAACTGACAAATCTGTCATAGTGATCTCACCACACCTGATCAACCGACAAATCTGTCATAGTGATCTCACCACACACCACACCTGATCAACCGACAAATCTGTCAAAGTGATCTCACCACACCTGATCAACCGACAAATCTATCATAGTAATCTCACCACACACCACACCTGATCAACCGACAAATCTGTCATAGTGATCTCACCACACCTGATCAACTGACAGATCTGTCATAGTGATCTCACCACACCTGATCAGCCAACAGATCTGTCATAGTGATCTCACCACACACCACACCTCATCAACCGACAGATCTGTCATAGTGATCTTACCACACCTGATCAACCGACAGATCTGTCATAGTGATCTTACCACACCTGATCAATGGACAAATCTGTCATAGTGATCTCACCACACCACACCTGATCAACCGACAGATCTGTCTTAGTGATCTCACCACACCTGATCAACCGACAAATCTATAATAGTAATCTCACCACACACCACACCTGATCAACCGACAAATCTATCATAGTGATCTCACCACACCTGATCAACTGACAGATCTGTCATAGTGATCTCACCACACCTGATCAACCGACAAATCTATCATAGTGATCTCACCACACCTGATCAACTGCCAAATCTGTCATAGTGATCTCACCACACCTGATCAACCGCCAAATCTGTCAAAGTGATCTCACCACACCTGATCAACCGACAAATCTGTCATAGTGATCTCACCACACACCACACCTGATCAACCGACAAATCTGTCATAGTGATCTCACCACACCTGATCAACCGACAAATCTATAATAGTAATCTCACCACACACCACACCTGATCAACCGACAAATCTGTCATAGTGATCTCACCACACCTGATCAACTGACAGATCTGTCATAGTGATCTCACCACACCTGATCAACCGACAAATCTGTCATAGTGATCTCACCACACCTGATCAACCTACAAATCTGTCATAGTGATCTCACCACACCTGATCAACTGAGAAATCTGTCATAGTGATCTCACCACACCTGATGAACCAACAAATCAGTCATAGTGATCTCTCCACACCTGATCAACTGACAAATCTGTCATAGTGATCTCACCACACCTGATCAACTGACAAATCTGTCATAGTGATCTCACCACACCTGAGCAACTGACAGATCTGTCATAGTGATCTCACCACACCTGATCAACTGACAAATCTATCATAGTGATCTCACCACACCTGATCAACCGACAAATCTGTCATAGTGATCTCACCACACCTGATCAACTGACATATCTGTCATAGTGATCTCACCACACCTGATGAACCAACAAATCAGTCATAGTGATCTCTCCACACCTGATCAACTGACAAATCAGTCATAGTAATCTCACCACACCTGATCAACCGACAAATCTGTCATAGTGATCTCACCACACGCCACACCTGATGAACCGACAAATATGTCATAGTGATCTCACCACACCTGATCAACCGACAAATCTGTCATAGTGATCTCACCACACCTGATGAACCAACAAATCAGTCATAGTGATCTCTCCACACCTGATCAACCGACAAATCTGTCATAGTGATCTTACCACACCTGATCAACCGACAGATCTGTCATAGTGATCTCACCACACCTGATCAACCGACAAATCTATCATAGTGATCTCACCACACACCACACCTGATCAACCGACAAATATGTCATAGTGATCTCACCACACCTGATCAACTGACAGATCTGTCATAGTGATCTCACCACACCTGATCAACCGACAAATATGTCATAGTGATCTCACCACACCTGATGAACCAACAAATCTGTCATAGTGATCTCTCCACACCTGATCAACTGACAAATCTACCATAGTGATCTCACCACACACCACACCTGATCAACCGACAAATCTGTCATAGTGATCTCACCACACCTGATCAACCGACAGATCTGTCATAGTGATCTCACCACACCTGATCAACCGACAAATCTGTCATAGTGATCTCACCACACACCACACCTGATCAACCGACAAATATGTCATAGTGATCTCACCACACCAGATCAACTGACAAATCTATCATAGTGATCTCACCACACCTGATCAACCGACAAATCTGTCATAGTGATCTCACCACACACCACACCTGATCAACCGACAAATCTATCATAGTGATCTCACCACACCTGATCAACCGACAAATCTGTCATAGTGATCTCACCACACCTCATCAACCGACAAATCTATCATAGTGATCTCACCACACCTGATCAACCGACAGATATGTCATGAGGTCTCAGGTTACACTAGCACAACGTTCATTTCAGCCTTGTGCACACTGTTGACATCTTTTGTCAACATGACAATTCGTAAAGGGCAGTACATCCAAGATGACCTACATGTAGGTGATTTCTAATGTCCTGAGCCACAACCACTGCATGCATGCTCACTTCCTGTCCAGCATTGATAGCTCTCACACAAACAATGAATGAAATGAAGTAAACCTCACCTGCGTGATAAGCAAAATTATAATGTTCCACATCAGAGAAAGTGTGTGGCAGGTACATACTGTATGATGTGTGTTGGTGTTCTGTTTTGGTGTGACTTAAAGGGGCACTGATGCAGAGCGATTAATGTTCCTTGCCAACAGAGTAATTACGAAACCGAGCTGCACGCTGGCCAGTACCTGCTCCCTCGACCGTGACGGACACGGACACGGGGACTGGGCTACTTTCCACCATGGCAGAATTTCTTCATCCTAAACAGCGGAATATTAGGAAGGGTGGATGCCCATCAGATGTTGTTATTTGAAAATATCCCGGGAGTTCTTGTCTGATTGTAATAAAGTATCCCAGCAGTGTAGGCTTTTGGCATTTTCTAATGCCTGGATGGTATAGTGACTGATCCAATTTGATCCTATTTCTGTGTTTTTTGCCTCTGCATTTAGTCATGTCATGTATAAATATGATGTCTATTACCTATGATATTAAAGGTATTTGGATTTATTTAAATTCGTAAACTAAACAACCCTATTTTGCCATTGCTAGAAAAATCAGAAAATTTACTTAGGTAAATATGTATATACTTTTATTAACTTAAGTACACAGAAAATGCTTATGTGTATTTCTTATGCAACCATGAAGTTCCTTTTGTCATCATTCACTTGATGGTCA